AAAAAACCTTTAAAGAAGTAATTTTTTAATTTTAATTTATCATTTTAATATTATAATAATTCATTTAAAGATAATAGAATTTTTTAAATAATTTTTAATAAATTTTATTTATAGAATACGATTAAAGATATAGCAAAAGAACTTATAACTAAAGCAATTTATCCTGAAAAAGACCAGATGAGAAAGGCAGTAAATAGTTATGTCAAGACTAATTATAAAGAAGATTATAAAAGATATATACAGAATCAGTAGAATACATATTATATGAAAATATCTATGGATCAGTAAAACCTTTTTATTTAATTTTATATTTTCATTATTTCAAATTGTTTTGAATTATTTTAAAATAATCCGAATTGTTTCAAATTATTTTAAAATAATTCAAAACAATTCGAATTATTTTAAAATAATTTAAAACAATTCGATTTATATTAAAATGATTATTTTACTAAATTATTATATTTTTAGCTATTGGAAAAAATTAGAGCATTGTGGGGAATAACAAGATAAAGAATTTGACCTTTTTTGTTTTTGGTAAATTATTAGAACCTATAAATAATACAGCTTCATCAGAAGCAGTACGATTATGGAAAAGCTCAAGTAAAACAAAAGAATGTTACAAATTACTGTTTGAAGAAGTAGAAGAAGGTTCAGAAGAGACATATATGACAAGAATATTAAAGAAAATTTGGCCTAATGCAGATGCAACAACAGAAAATGTTGCATTTGAAATTGCTGTAGCCCAAACTATATTAAATCCAGATTATAAGAAATTAACTATTTTGAATACAGTAGTAAAGAAATTACTTGTAATAAATTTAGTAAGTATTTATTTATATTTAATTTAAATATATTTAATATAATTTAAAATAATTTAATCTAATTCGAATATATTTGAATTAATTCAAATTTTTTAGGAAAAATTAAAATACAACAGGCTATTTTCTATTAGTTCTGAAGATGATTCAAGATCTGTAAAAGGCGAAAATAGTAAAGACAAATCTTTAGATAATGTTGATAAAATAAAATTAAGTTTAAATTATTTAAATTACTTTATATAATTATTTTCTAAATTTATAAAAAATATTCAAATTTATTAAAAAACATAAATTAGATTCGAACAAATCTGAAAAGGTATAATTTATTTATTATTTATTTAATTTAATTAAAATATATTAAATTTTAATAAATTGTTTTAGACTTATAAAAGGCCAAATGTTAGTAAGTAATATTTTAAATTATTGTATATAAATTTTAATTAATTCAAATTAGATCGAATTTGCTAAATATAATTATTTTTAATTCAAAGTTGTTCAAGTTGAATTAGATGAAGATAGAGAAGACCAAGACGAAGAACCAGAAGCAAGTGAAAATGATTCTGATGATGATAATTCTTTAACCTCCAAACTCTAAATATACAAACTGGCATAGGCTAGATATGTAAAAACAATCTATCTATTAAATTTAATACAGTAACTCACTCTTCTCCTGACTCTTCTCGGGCTAAATTAATAGCAATTATTCCTCTTTTACTTGCTCTACCAACAAATTCTACTGTTAGTATCTATATCAATAACATATTATCAATTAAAAACTTAATTAATACCCCCTCCTCCAAACTTATTCAAAACAAAAATTGGGATTTTATCCTTATTATTAATTCTATCAAATCTACAAAAAATATTACTATCCTGCCTATTAAAGTTAAATCACATTCAACTAACTCTCTTCATAACTAAGCTGATCTCCTGGCCAAAAAAGATTCTAATAAACCTATTTTAGAAATTTCCCATACATATTTCAACTTTCCTACTCACTTTCTTTGGAATAATTATACTATTCTATTTAAAGTATACACCTTTATAAAGAACATTATTACAATTCAAGAACTCCTTTCTTGGTCCTTATTAAACTTTTTCAACAACTATACATTTGATATAAACTGGAATCTAACTTTTAAAATACTTAACTTCTTAGAATACGATTCCTATAAATACACCTTTTATATTAAAATCCTGACAAATAATCTCCCAACAATGCAAAAATCTTAATATTTGCTATCCAAATTTATATACAACGAACAAATATTGTAAATGCTCTTCAACTGAAGATACCTTCACATACTTCTATACACAAAAAATACTGAAAATATCCAACAATTACTCTTTGATATAACCAATAACATGCTTTAACAACTGCAAATCACATCTATACAACCTACAACACTTCTTAATCTTCTATTAATCCCTACAACTATCTCTTCTAATATACAATATAACTCTTTTCTCCTTACCATTCTTGGAATATATTCCAAAATAATATATCAAGATATCAAAATCTCAACAAAAAAACAAACTGAACTTCTTCTTATCAACCTTTCGAATAATCTTCTAAACTGGTTCTATCATAAAATATACTTTCAACGAAATTCTTTTCAACATCAATGGGAAATAGCTCGTAACATTACACCCAAGGTTAAATGTAATAAATTATCTTTATTGTCATTTACTAATCAAACAAAACACAAAAACTCTACACTTAACCAATAGATCTATTCTATGCTATTGAAAAATAGTATTTACAAGGCTTCTCTTTAATAACATACTTTTTATAATGTCATGATTAATACCTTAGGTTTTCTCTTACCTATCCTAACTAGAATTATTTTATTTATTTAAATTAATAATAGTATTTAAATAGGAAATAGGAGGTGTAATGTCACATTGGGTGCTCTGTAGCACAAATATAGCTAGAAATCTTTATTATAGAAAATTTTCTAAAACTATATCTTCTTATTATTAGCTAGTACTGAGTTGAAGGAATTTGGCAGCCTGGTTAGGTGACTTATCTGCCCTCTTACCCAAGTCTTTTTAATAACAGGAAGATCATTAATTTTTAAATTAATATAAGTTTATTGTAACAAAGTTTCTACTATAACATTATATTAATATAAAAAAAAAAAGTTGGTTGAAGCTCGTAGCAGGCCTGGTTGCTCTATTAATCTAGTATTGATTTTTTGGCTTAATCTTTTGTCTTAAAACTATTTTGTGTATTTACTTAGTACTAATATGCTCTATAGCTAGATTTTCTTTTGTTTTAGTTTTGGGTGTAGTGATCAATGGGAAGAGTTTGTCAAGATCTTAATTTATTAAATTTGATAATTGTATAAATAGCTATACTTTTTTTTATAATAGTGAAATATCTAAGCATGTTTTATAACAGATTACTTTGCACTTTTAAAGCTTTTTATAGTTAAATAATATTATAAAGCTTAGAAAATCATAACAAATATATTATCATTTCTTTTTATAGTAATTTTTGACAGTTGTAACTTTAGTTATATATTGTATATATTTGTATTAGCTATACTAGTTTTGGTAGTTCTAGGTTCTTAACTGGATAACAGTCTTATAAGACTGTTATCCAGTTGCTTTATAATGTTATTTAGTTAGAACAATATAGTCTAGAATTTTATAATATTATCTAGTTAGAGCAATATAGTCTAGAATTTTAAAATAAATTGTGTTCATCCCAAGTAGATTATAATCTGTGAAACTATTCTCAGATATGTGGCTGGTTATATAGTTTCTCTTTTCCAGGTTGCCTAACTAATTAGGAGAGAAGATATGCGATTCTACCTTTCTTGGCCTGTTTGGAGACTATCTTAGATACCATCTTGGGTGCCAGATTCTACATTGAGGCACTTACCTTTTGCACCTATTCGGTTGCCTGTCAAAATACCAAAATGTAGTAAAAAAAAATATTGTGTTGGGTAGTATAATAAATCTGTATTTAAATTTGCCCGGCATTATAGCATAATTCTGGCTGATCTTTAGAATACATATTTTGAGAATCCAACTTGGCACTATAGTAGTAACCCAATAGTGTCTAGAACTATCATAATACTGGCAGCAGACTAGTAGAAAACCAGAAAGGCTCTATTAGTTTGCCAGTTTTAGATCACTTCTTGGTTGTCAAGTTATTGTATTCAAAGTTCTGGCTAAATTTATAGAATAGTACTAGCCAAAATTATTATAATTTACTCTTCAATTTCTAACACTTTTTTGTCACTTTCAAGGTTCTGGTAGTTAGAGAATTAGAGTCATGATAACATTACTATGGCCAACCCATTTGATTACCAAAAAGTGTGGTATTGTAGTTCTGCTTTAAGAAAAATGTTAAAATTTTTACTGTGTTACTTTCTAAGACAGAGAAAAAAGTGCTCTTTTTTCATTTTAACTTGTATCTGTATTATCTTTCCTAGGTATTTTAGGTGCCCTAGTAAAAAATAAAGTTCTAAAGAAAAAAAAATGAGTTTTTTCTATAAAATCTTTTTGGTATATATATTGATATGCTATATATATACTATATATATGCTATATGTATACTATATTTTTGCTATATCTATAGATAAAAAATAAAAAATAAAAAGTAAAGAAGTCTGATATTTTTTTAGATTACCTAGAGCACTTAGGGCAGAGTGTTTGAGAAACCATTTTAGTGACCCAATAAAGTTAATTTGCTATTTTTCTTCTACTTCTAGAAGTTAAAAACTTTCTAGAGCAGGTTTTTTCTAGGACACTAAGGCTGATTTTTCTAAGGCATTTAGCTTCTTTCTATAATAATATATTTTCGAATGATACTTATCTACATATAAATTTTATATTTTGTACATTAACGCAATAGGTTTTCCACACTGTTTGCAAGAGCTTCACTAACACCTTTTCCAATAGATTTTGCATCCCTCTTGTCGATCACAAACCTGTTCATACATGTTTCCTTTATTAGAAAGATATTTGCAGATAAATTCATCTTTCATTGAATATCTCTTAAATTTCTATAATTATTTTTATTTAAACTTTTTTCTCAGAGCAATATATTCTGAGTTTAGAATATAGTATACCTTTCAAAAGTTATCTAAAAATACCATGACCCAATCTGAGCTTTCAGAGAATTTAGACAGCCCCACTCTTTTTTAGCCAAAGGCTGATAAAGATAAAATGAAAGGACAAATAATTCATTACTCTGGTGAAAATTACTTGACAGACATTCCAACCCGTGTTGATTTAGTCACAGAAAACAATAAAGAATTAACAGCAATTATTGAAGATACTTTATCTAAGCATCAAGATATTCCATTTATGGCCATTAATGTGGAAGAGTCTACTGAATTCACAAATAGTCAAGTCTGGTATGTATTGTGTCTCTATGGCCCTCTCATCAATGGTCAGAAAGCAGTTGTTTCAATAACAGGAATTCAAGTCTTTTTTTATATTCTCATACCAGAAGATGAGTCTTTCAATTTGTTTAAGACAAAAATAAGGGCTATTCTCTTTGGTAAAATAAAATGGTTAAAAATAGAAGATGTAAAGGCGTATTCATTTCGTGGTTATCATCCTGATAAAAAGTCATATTTGCATATTTACATAACCAATACTAAGCAAAGAAAGATTGAAATAAAAGCTATTCAAAAGAAAAAGTACATAATAGCGTCAGATAATCAATTTACGTACTATCACAAGGTGGCTTGTAAACATGGAATTTCACTATTAGGATGGTCTACAATAAGTAATTATACGTGTGAAATTGGAGGAAGGAGAAACCTACTTTGTGCATATACTTTCTGGGTATCTATAGAGAATTTTCACCCTATAGAAGACCTGGCATCATTAAAATATTGCTTTCTAATTTCAGCGCTAATGAGAGATTGTACACTTGCTCTCATATGAGACATAGAAACATATAGTTTGCGTAGATTGGGTGAACTTCCTGAAGCAATTAATGAAGAAGATTCTGTAATTATGATCTGCATGATGTTGTATTGGAAGGATGATCCAAGATCATTAAAACAAATTTGTTTTGTCAATGTCAAAACAGCACCATATTTACACTAGATCACAATTGTATGTGGATCGCAAACTAATTTGCTAAAAGCATTTGTACTTTGCTGGCAGGCATTTGCTCCAGACATCCAACTCAGATTTAATGATTTGCAATATGATTGGCCTTTCATTATGGAAAAAGCTAATAAGTTACATCTCATTGAATAGATGTGGAAACAGATATTAGAAAGAACTCACCAGACAACTTCCGAAGATATTATACAATGGAATTATTATAGAAGATTAGAAGATGTGATTACTTCTAATAAAACCCTTTCTGTGAAAGAGAATACAGAAGAAGAAGTGGAAAAAGAATTCAGAAGATTTCTATTTTCATTAAAGTTAGCCTGAAAAATACCTTTAAATCTTCCTTTTTTAAAATACCTGGATGTGTACCAATTGATGTATGTGCATGTTTTAAAAAACTTTACTCTTGCTCAGAAATAGAAAAGGAAAGTTCGCTGAAGTTTTACTTAAAATTATATGGGCTCAAGAGTAAGGCTGATATGCCTTTTAACAAATTATGGAACTACTATTCTGAGACAAAAAAAACTCTCTTCTGATATAACTGCTAGAAATATGTATGAGGTAGCAAACTATTATATTATAGATGCATTGCATTACCAAAAACTCATAGTCAAATGCAATGTAATTAATAATTATAGAGAAGTTGCCTCTATAGCTTATAGCATATATTTTTCTCCCAATAAAAGGTATTAAGAATAAGCATCCCATTACAGAGCTCAATTTCATCTCATTATATCCCAGTCTTATTATGGCTTACAATCTTTTATTTGAAAAATTAATATTGAGCCGTGAAGAGGCTAATAATATACGTGAAAGAGAAATTGAATTATATGAGATTAAATTTCCATTTAATATGTGTATTCTTTATGCATGGGCCATCTGTCATAGCAATTGTTCTGAGAAAAAAATTATATTCTACTGTTCTAAAGGATCTGTTTAATAAATGAGTAAACCTTAAATCAAAGTTTGCCCTACTATGAAAAGAGAAGGAGCGTCTTGAAAAGCTTATAAGCACCATAGAAGAGAAGAGTAAAATTGTACCAAATACTTTAAAATCAAAATATAATTCTCTATGCTTTGATTATAATTGCTTAAACTCAAAACAATTTGCTCTGAAGGTGTATATAAATACATTTTATAACGAGGCAAGTAATAGTAACTCTCTATTCTTTCTTCATGAATTAGCTAGAGGAATTACTTTAGCAAGACAATACAATATTAGTCTTGTTGCTAGATTCATTATAGCGAAAAGCTTTGGGATCAAGTATGGTAATACTAACTCTTTATATCTTACTTGGCCAGATAAGTATTACGAAAAATGCAATAGAGATTATAATGAAAACAAGCTTTCCAAAGAGGCATATTGGAATGAAATAGTAAAAATTACTATGAAAATGATGGATGAATTTTGTAACAAAGTAAATACTTATCTTAGAATAAAAAATGGTACCTCTTATCTAAAGATGGCGTATGAGGAAGTATTGTTCTCTGTATGTTTTACTGTAAAAAGAAATACTTCAGAGTTGCACATGAAGAAATAGTAAATTTCAAACCAAAAAAGCTATTTACTAAAGATATTAATACTGTAAAGCAAGGTCAAATGGAGCTTTTCAAATTCATTAGAGAGAAAATCATAAGAGAGGCAATGAATATCGATAATACACACACAATCCATCAAATCGTCGAAGATACTATTAGAGAAGCTAGTGGAAAGCAATGGGATTTTAACCAATTTGTTGCAATGACTACATGGAAGCCTAATATAGATAATAAATGTATTTAGCACTTTATAAAACAGATGAAAGAAAATTATAAAACAATATTCCTGATTCAGGTAAGCACTTTAGTTATATAGTTGTGAAAAGTGAATGGTATTGTGATGAAAATGGTTAGTTAATACCATGTAGAAATGCTGACTATATGGAGTTTTCTGATACTGCAAAAGAAGAAAATATAGAAATAGATATCAACTATTACTTAGAAAAGATGGTTGGAATATGTGCATGCTTTATTAATGAGGATGAAAAATATCAACCACCTTCTTCACATAAAATTACACAACTTAAAGGTTTAGATAAAAAAGAGAAGCAGATTGATGTCTATTCCCAGAACAAAGCAAAAAAATTGCTTAAAAAATATATAAAAACTTTACAATAAATATTCTAGATATTTTGATAATTCGTCTAAAGCAGATATAGATGAAATCATCGAATTATATAAATAAGTGAAATTTCCACACCCCTGCTAGAAAACTTATAATACGTATATCGGAGTTAAAAAAAATAAAGGATATATACTTGAGCAGAGGATCATTGAGAGTAGTAGCTGAGTTAAATTTAGTATTTTTCTAAGATGCACCTATTTCACAAATTTCTGTATATGATATTCTATTGTACCTATTAAATACAAGACGGAATTGACACTAAAGCTTTGGCATATGCCCAAAAGTATAAAGGCAAGTGCTTAGCAAAAGTTAGTTCTAACACATATTTATAGGCATACAAAAAGGATTATCAATGGGAGACGCCTTATAAAAATATAAAACAGAATTATAGATAGTGCAACATTTGTCCCAATGTTCTGGAAAGAACATGCCAATATATATTTGAGGATTTATTAAATAAAAAATTCTTATCCAGAAAACCTAAATTCTTGGAGGGATTACATCTAGATGGATACAATAAAGAGCTAGGCTTGGCTTTCAAATATAGTGGTAATCAATATTATCAAATCGTTTCTTTTTTTTACCCGCAAGGACAGATGAATCTAGATGCACAAATTTGGCATAATTGGGAAAAAAGAGCATTATGTTATAGAGAAAGAGTAATCTTTATTACAATACCTATTGCATTATTAACTTAAAAACTTTTATAAGAAGTGCTTTATATATATTTGGTTATCTCTCAGTATCTACCTAGAAGGTAACATAGGCTTTTTCTTAATATACATTAATTGTTCTTTTATAAAGAGATGTCAAGGTTCTGACTCATCCAAGTAATATAAAACAGGCATAGGAGGATTCTTTCCAACAACAATTCTCTAGATCTTATGCAGACTAGAAGACCATATTGAATCTGTTATTCTATATTGTTCGAAAGGATCATTTTTCGATTCTCCAGGAGCAAGCAAAAATCAAATAGTAGTATCTTTTGATAGTCATGGTTCATCAACACCTATTGGGTGATTATATTTTATCGATAGTTTGGAATATACCAGCTTAAGTTTTGTGGCCTCATTGGGATTTATTCCAATTAACCGAGTAGTAGTATCATTCATGTTATCAACAATTCTTCTTGCAAATCATTCACATTCTCTACAGTGTTCGCCGGTAGGTAAGAGAAACTCTATTGTATACTAGTTTTTAAAAACCCTTAATTCAAATGATCCGGTATAACAATCAACCATAGCCAAGCTTGTATGTCTGAAATATGCTTTAATTCTTCAGATGTTAACATTGTGTTTATCTATTATTAATGTCACACTTCCTATGAACTTATAACCTTTGTCACATTTCAATAGCTGAGCTCAGTTAAGAGGATTGTTAGGATTATCATATATACTCTTAAATGCTTTCACGACTTCTTCACTACTTTTTGATATTAAAAAAACGAAATCTTTATATCTAGTTGCATAGTTTATAACCAATAGTATATAGTAAAATATTAGGCTATTATCCAACAAACTCATATCTATATCTTCATCATATAGTATTTCAATTAAATCGCACTAGTGTATAGAATTTGGTTTTGTAATTTTAGAGTAACTAGCATAAAGTATATTCTTTGGTAAAGGATGAAAAATTTGATACATTGCTTGGTCATCAAGCCATTTTTTTATATCATTAAATAGAAAGTTGTAGCCAGCTTTCTTAAAGTGTCCCACAATCCCTTAATATTTTGATAGAAACCCTCAGGCTAATAATACAGCTTCTGTAAAACAAGATATCAGTCAAGATTATATGCTTTCTGGGAATCAATAAGAATTATTGGTTTTTGTAATGACAAATTTTGATTTTTAACTTTTTTACTTTTAGCAATTTCTTGATCAAGTTTATAGGCTTTTTGTAAATCGATATAAATCAAAGGTTTTTTCATTATACTATAGTAAAAAAATATGGAGGAATTACAACAGAGTAATCAAGAACTCCATGAGGTAGTATCCCAATTAGCAGAATCAAATAAGAATTTCAAACAATGTTTATATACCTTAGAATGAATTATTGGTATATGGAAAGAAAGAATAAGATTTCTTGAAGAAGAGTTAAATAACACAATTAAAGAAAGTTTCTACAGAAGAGAAAGAGAAGTTAAAAAAAGAAGTCTCAAAACTAAAAAGAATTATTCATCAACTTGAAGAAGAAAATAAAAAGAAAGATAAAGAAATTTTGAATAAGAATAAATTAATAACAGAATTTGATAAAAGAGAAACAAAATTAAAAAACAGAATACGAGAGATATCTAAATCTGCTAGAAATATGCCTAAAGCATAAGATTATACAACCATATTAGTAGATGAAAACAAGTGTCTTAAATGGGAAGTAAATACAGTAAGAACTAATCAAATAAATAGGATTAACAAAATAACTCAGCAAAAAAAATCAGATTACAGACCTGCTTTATCAAAATTTTGTATTAGTATTATTAAGATATCGAGATAAATTAGAACTTAGAAATATACAAGAGGCTTTACAAAATGCACAGGCATGGAATTATGGTGAAAATGAATCTGATTCTGATGAAAATTCTCTAGACTTGTATAATTCTGATAATAATATGAGTACAATAGCTGAATTGGCCGATACTATAGACCAATCTCTAGATAATACAACAATATGTAGAACAATTCTAACAAATCAAATTAAAAAATCAACAAGACAGATATATCAAAAATATACTAACCTGCAACAAGATCTGGTAAATGAATAGTGGCACCGAGATATATACAGGCAAGAGCGAGATCAGGTATTGCTTGATCTTTATCAATTATGGACTAATATACAAAATTAAGTAAATAGAATGATAGATAATATAGCAAGAAAACAAACCCATATCAGTGAATTGCTATATAAAAATTTTGCCTTCCAGTTATTGTATTAGCAAAATATCCTCTTTCTACAAGATTGTAGAACAGATAGAGTAATTACTACACATCTCTTAAATCTTACAAATAATCAATACACCAAATAGAAAAATAAAACTCATGCAGAGTGCCAGAATAATTTAAATTTAAATTTTGGTGCTATATAATAATCAACAGAATTAAAGAAATATGGCAAGAATACCACAACCATTTTTTGACTGGAGTGATGATATCTCAGATTTTCTTGCGAAGCTAAAATTATACTTGCAAAACCAAAGTATAAATCCAGCAGATAATATGGGAGGTCTACCAACAGAAAGAGAAGTAGCTATAAGATATTTAAGAGGCTGTATAAGAGAAAAAACTTTAGAATGATTCGATGAAGAAATTACTACAAAGCAAAATTGAAATTAGCAAACTTACTTGATAATATGAGGCAAGCTAACATAGTAGCTGTAAATAGACATACAGCTATTCAGATAGAAGCTAATGGAATAAACGAGGCCCTTAATCAGCCAGGAAATGCAATAGTTAAGTTAAGAGCTGTAGAAGGTCCTTGGGATGAAGACTAGCGTATAGAGGGAGGCCGACCTACTAATAATACTCCAAATGCTTCCAATGCTAATGCTGGTAATACCATAGTTGTACCTGAAATTTATTTTGGTCAAGCTGTATAGTGATTAAAAACTCATTTTTTTATAGTAGAAGAGAAGCTTTGGGATATGATATATGGAACAATTGGAAAGGGGAATCTGACTATAGATGAATTATATAGAAAAATATTATGAATAGGTAGATAAGCCAACTATAGGCCCAAAGAATTATGTAGAAAGTTCTTAGATGCTTTTCCACTTCTATAGCTTGAAAAAGCTAAGGATATCAGCGAATATTTGCTATTGAATAAATTAGCTAAAAGCTTTATAAGATAGAATTACACTGAATAACTAGACATAAAAGAGATAGAATACTCGATTTATTGGTTTTTTAGTAAGCATCTCAAGAAATATATGAACTCTTACCCCGTTTTAGCTTCTCAACAACAAGGAATTTCTTTAGAAGATATGCAAAAAGCAATCCAAAATGCCCTGGCATAGCAAAAAACTAAATACCAGTCTTTATTAAAAAAACAAAAAACTGATTTTCAATTACAAATGGCCTAGCAAGCTATTGAGCTAGTTAGACAGCCAAGAGGCTTACCAACTTACTAAAATCAAAAGAAGGTATGAAAAATTATTACGTAGCAGAATTCCTTAAAGATTTAGGTATAATTAGTAAAGATAATTTAGACTCAGATTATTCTATAAAGCCTTTTCAAAGACCTCATTTATAGCGAAGCAATGTCTTTATTAGAATTGATAGATCAGAAAAAGGGATTAATGAAACTCAGGATACTATAAACCAGTTAGCCAATTAATTTTAAAGAAAGGCATATTTACGAAAATGTGATATTTGTAGAGAGACAAGCCATAGCAAAAGAAATTGTTCAAATAGACTGATAGCTTAGTTTAATTTTACTCAGTCTTATTTTATACCACTTAAACCAATAGTCTCTTATTGTATATCTCCCGATTTAGATAAGGAAAATGGAGATTATAATAAGGAAGAGAATAAGTGATATAATCTACCAGTAAAAAAAAACAGATAATAGTGAATAATAACTAGCTGAAAACATATAATGAATTATTTTCAAAGCCTTTGCCAGCTATGTGAAAAATATGTCAGTCTTATATAGTTTAGAAAAAAGAATCAAAATTAGATGAGTGGTTTTTATCATTACTAGAGATGTAGACATTTTTCAAATCAAGGGTAACTACCCTCTTATGGCATATAAAATTTGGGTAACTACCTAGTTACGGCTATACCGTATATTATTTCACGTTCTAATATCTGTACCTTTAATTATTACAATACTTGCATTGTAATATAAATGATCTATTAATCACTAATTTTTTTTTAGATAGTGCAAGTGAATTCGGGAGAGTGAATAATATAACAATTAATGCTCTGGGATAAAAAGCTAACAAGCTATCTGATTTTGCTATAAAGGGTAATTCCAAACATATAACCGAATCATTGGTATAGTATACAGATGTGCTAATTAGTGTAAAGGACAAGGATGAAAAGATTGTTACAGCTACTGGAAATTTTGCTTGTATTAATAATAAGGAATCCAAACCAATATTATGTTTAGGTATGACATGGATTCGAAAAGTTCAAGGTGTTTTTGATCTAAATAAAAATCAATTCTGAATAAAGTTATATAGGAAGACTTACATTATCTCAACTTTTAGCAAGACTCTAGAAATAAATGATCTACCAAAAGAGGAGCAGGACCAAGTATCCATCGATTCCTCTAGCCTGATTAGTGAAGACTTAAAAAAAATGTGAAGATCTTAAAAAGTATCTCTTGAAAACTGAGAAATGGCTTGACTTGGCATTAAGAACTGGAAAGATTTTTGCTAATACATGTGAATCTTTATGTAGAAGAGGTATCAAAAGTACCAACTGACTTTTAAACTTTTTATCACGATTGACTAAGTTTTCAAGAAGAGATTCTAACCTTTTTTCTTGGGATACATCTGGCAAATTATTAGAGAGCATATCATCTTTGTTCTCATTTTTTTCTTGTTTTATTTTTAATTCAAGAGAGACCTTCTTTTTTTGACTATTCTTTTTTGGAATCTCCATAGTCGGAGTGAACATAAATGGTACTAGTAGTATTGCTTCAAGATTCTGTTTTGACTTATCAGTCTTGAAATTTTTATCCAAGACAGGCTGAAAAAGAATGGCCCCTTGCTAGAGGCATTCTTTATTATCCCATATTTCATAAACATGTTTAGGTCCAATATAAAATTTATTAGCTATTTTTTTTGATGTATTGGGTATCCTATCTCTAGATTCTCTAATTTCTTTGATAGCATCATCCAATAATAGGGTTGTCTTAGCATCATAATATATATCATAGATATGGGCTACCATCTTCACTCATAGGACGACATTTGTATGATTGGTAGATCTACCCGTGATTTCCTGTGATAATTAACCAATCAAATCAATCAAAAAAAATTAATTTTGCAAGTAAATTTTTATTATTATTAGCGAAGCTTTTACATTTAATTTTATATTCAAACCATAATTCTATTTTATTTTCAGTCGTCACAACCTCTACTAGAGATACGCCAT